TACTGCCCTTTTGGAATGTTGGTTAATGACATCAGCAGCTGCTGAAAATAGAACTTGTTATTGCTGCTGTCGTGTTCATTGATAGCTTCCACTTTGAAACTACTGGATTTTAGTTGAATATATTTCTTTGCTCTTTTTGTCAATACCCCAAAAGAAGCAGCTGCTAATGGTGCTTTAAGCCAAGATGACTTTCCAGCAATTGGTTCTGCAGTAGGACCTCTACAAGGGTAAGTTTGTTCAAGACTGCAGCAATGAGAAAGCTGATTTAGAAACTTACTTGGGTTGTGTGTTTCTGGAAGAATTGGTTTTATAGATCTCTTGAACTGCAGGTGCTCCCCTCTCTCAGTTCCTCTTCTGCTTTGACCTGTTTCTGTGTCAGCTGCTGCATGAACAGCACAGGCTGTTGCTTCAGTTTGCAGCTTGATTTTTATTTTATTTTATTTTATTTTTGTAGTGCAGTTCCAGGGAACTTTTCAGTATTCCTGACTCCACTCATTTTTAACTCACTAGCTTATCTTGAGGGAGCCATATGCTGTTGGGGTTTTTAAATTCATCATCTCGTTAAATGGGTGGTAACTATAAATAGAGTCTTTGCAGGATGTGGACACTAGGATGTACTAGAAGCCTGCATGTATGGCTTGCTGGTCAAGGTAAGGTGTGCTAAGACAGCACAGATAAGACAGCAAGGCTAGTGAGACTGCTTTGAAGAGACCCATCCAGACACGGTTTATGTATCTGCATCCTGTTAATGGTTGTGGCAGCTGTGCCACTCTAAGTGATGGATTGAAGAAGAATGCAGTCAGGCCCGGAGCCTCTTTTGCCTGGTGGAGTTTTGGGAGTTTTGCTGTCTGTGCAGAGGTGGTGTAACTGGGTGCACTTTTCCTTTCTCGCAGCTCTGCTCAGCTAGCAGCAGTTAAGCTTAAAGAAGATTTCCCAAGCTTGTCATCCTCCGCAGCACCCGCTGTCTCTTCTGGGATGTCTTTGACGTACACAGCGACTGCAAAGAAAACAGCTTTTCAAGAGGAGGATTTTCCAGCTCTGGTGTCCAAAATGAGGCCTAACAATAAAACAGTAACTAACATCACATCTGCATGGAACAGTGGTTCCAGTAAAAATGTGGTCAAAGCCATTAGCAACCCTTGCGTAAATCAGATAGCCAAAAAATCATACTCCTTGAATAGCACTAAAGGAAATAAGAAGAGCAATAAACTCTCTCAGTCAGATGATGAAGACAGCAGTAGTGGCTTGACAACCCAGGAGATAAGGAACACACCGACAATGTTTGATGTATCGTCCTTGCTGGCAGCTTCTACCTCACAGACTTTCACAAAAGTGAGCAAGAAAAAGAGGATGGGGGTTGAGAAGCAGAGACCATCATCCCCACACCTGTTACAGGAGACCTCATTGCCCAGGTCCTGTATTGAAAAGCTGCCAGAAGCAGAGCGGACATCAAACGCTGCTTCTGCTCTTCACGCCTCTGACAGATCTGCAGCTGTTGTGAATGGTCATTCAGAAAAATCATTAGCACTCTGTAGTACACCCAAAGAGCCCCCTGGCCTTAAAAAGCCCACAGTGACGAACCAATGCCCTTTACCTCAGGAAGATTTCCCAGCTCTTGGGAGCTCAGGATCAGCTCGAATGCCACCGCCACCGGGTAAGCACTTCAGGGCACTGACAGCTTCTGGGCTGCAGTTACAAGGCAGCCTGAGTAACAGTGTCTTGAAAGTCCTCTCTCTTTGTAAAGTCATATCAGGTGCTGTGAAGCACTTCCTGACCCAAACGTTAAGGCAACAGATTTCCACCTCTTTAATATTTAGGTTTCTTCTGAAATAGTGATGACTGCACTGTTGACTGTTACTTCTTGATGCTTCTGGAGAGTACGTCAGACTGTTGGTGTTAATTTTACTTGCTGGTATGTGGGTGCCACAGATATGTGCTCTGACTTCCTGCCCATTTCTGCTTTCATTTAGGCTTTAACACTGTGGTGCTATTAAAGAGTCCTCCTCCGCCTCCAGGACTGTCAGTGCCTGTTAGTAAACCCCCACCAGGTTTTGCTGTTATTCCATCCACCAGTATCTCCGAACCTGTCACTACATCTTTGAAAGAGTAAGTAAAAGTCCTTTTGTTGGAGTTATTTACACATTGCATCTCGAGATATGCCATAGAAGCTTCAGACGAAGCACAAAACACTGGTAGGATTACTGTATCCATGTGCTGCTGGCAGAAATTGCACGTGTAGTTGAGTGGAGAAAGGGAGAAAAGAATCATCATGTAATGTGTGTCTGCAGCATATTTCTGTAATATGAGGCAGTATCCAATTGCATTACTTTTTTTCCCCCAAATGCAGGCCAAAATCCAGCCAAGGGACATACTTGATACCTGAAAACTTTCAGCAAAGGAACATTCAGCTAATACAATCCATTAAAGAATTCCTCCAAAGTGATGAGTCCAAGTTCAATAAATTTAAAACTCATTCTGGGCAATTCAGACAGGTGAGTGGGCAAGAACCTTTGCCTTCCTGAAATCCTCCCCAGCTCAGTTCATGTAGTGCCTCTGTTTGTGGTTGGTGAGTGGACTAGATGCAGGTTTTCTTTTTGAACTGCGTGCTCCACTGTAGCTCTTCTGTAGCACAGCAAAGTGCACGTAGTGTGGCCTGGAAGAACGTGAATCTTTTTATAGATGAATCAGATTATTATTTTTGAAGTTTCTAATTATTCCAATTTTCTTTTCACTGAAGGGTCTGATTTCTGCAGCAGAGTATTACAAAAGTTGCCGAGAACTGCTTGGAGATAATTTCAGGAAAATTTTTAACGAGTTGCTGGTGTTGTTGCCAGACACAGTTAAGCAACAAGAACTGCTTTCTGCTCACAATGATTTCAGAATCAAGGAAAAGCAAAGTTCAAACAAATCCAAAAAGAACAAGAAGAATGTTTGGCAAACGGACTCCAACTCTGATCTCGACTGCTGCATCTGCCCAACGTGTAAGCAAGTGCTAACGCAGCAGGACATTGTCACTCATAAAGCTTTGCATATTGAGGATGAGGAGTTCCCTTCCTTACAAGCAATCAGTAGAATCATCAGTTAGCTCTTATGAAGACCAATAAAACAGTTTCTGTCTATGAATATGCACTTTTTGGAATGAGGTTTGACAGCGTAGTGTGGCTGAGATCTGGTGCCAGTTGAGTACTGATACACAGGGAACTGTTAGAGAGCCCTCAGTGCTGTTCATAAATACTGTGCAAAGGGATCACTGGACTGCGCCGTAGCTAATTAACATCCAAAGTCTGAGCTTCCAAAATGCCTGAGTAGAGTTAGGCCAAAATTGCAGGGTGGGCAGGCAGGGGGCCACCTTTCTCCTGTAACATGCAATAGCTGAGAAAATACTTTCTGATCTGAAGTCTGGGGACACAATAGGGGAATATGCATCTGGCTTGGGGGGTTTTCTTTCTTTAGGGAAGGGTGGGAGCAGAGGGGGGAGATATTGAATCACTGAAGTGAATAGAAGCAGAAGTGAGTTCCCTTATATTCTGATTTTTGTGCTGTTTCTGTGACCGCAGAAATGGAAGCAGTCAGGGGTGCAGAGATGCAGAACTGCTCCTACTCACTGGTGAATAGGGCCGTTCCAGTTGTGTGTCTGTAAACGTTGGGCTGCTCGTATAGCTAAGAATATTCCTGTCTGAAAACTGAATTAATTCTACTACTTGAAGAATTGGACTGATATGTGTGATGAGTTGAACCTGAGGTTTGAAGTTGCCTCTGACCTTTTATGTAACATGTTCTTTAAAGAAACTTCTTTTGTAGCACTGCATGTAGAAGGATGATGTTCAGGCTTTACTTTCTGTAAAGCACACTTCACGGTGACTTTATTTAATGATTGCCACGTTTCTATTTCTTGGATGTATTAATGGTGGTAGCTCCAACCAACGGCATACTGGGATATTAAATGCTGCTGATCACTGACCATGTTTATCTGCAGTGCCTTCAAGTGCATTTATCTGTTTACAGTGGTCTGCACTAACGAGGATAATTTGTTCAGGCTATGGAGTGTTTACATCCTGTATCTCCCTTGGTGATGTTGGTCTGCAGTAGCTTTGCTCACATTGCTTGCCATCTGTAACTTCCACCTCTAGGAAAACAGGAGCCGAATCTGTTCATCATTTGAAATAACTTCTCTAGCAGCAGCTATGACGTGACGGAGTGACACGTGCTCCCTGTAGTGCACTTCCATGGCTATAATTAAGCGTCTGATTCTTGCCCATCTTTGCAGACCAGGTTTAGTTATTTTTAACATGTTGAGATTAATTTATGTAATTTTTAAGTGACAAAACACTGCTTTTATATAAGCGTTTCTATGAAATTGAGCTCAGTCTATTACTGAAGAGCTAGTCCTGGCTACAGCATTTCTTCCTTGCCTTATACTTGTTAATTTTGCTTGCTGTCAGGCTGCAAAGTGCTTTCGGTTTCTTTTTCTAAATAATTCAGACTGTTTTGAATTCCTGGATGTGTTGTATTCAGCACAGGGGCCAGACTGCATGCCCTGAAAGAGGGAGGGAGGAGCATTAGGCTGCACGGCTGTTGACAGAATGCATGAATACGTGGTGACCCGTAAGGCTGCCGTGTTCGTGGCGCAAGGCGCTGCCTCGAGCAGAGCCAGGTGCCACCACACACCGGTGCTCCAGCTTGGATGCCAGCTGCCCAAGTCAGCAACAGATCTGCATCCTCAGTTCTTTCCCCTGACTGCCCCTTGGGTTTGAAAAGCTCAGAGGAAACAAAGCACGTATCTTCTGCAGGAGCTTCTGACGTCTTCCCTTTATTTTTCAGTTTATTTTCTTCTGTGTTAGCAAATACGTCAGTTCCCAGCCGGCAGGTTGAGAACTCACGGTGCTGCTCTCAGTTTCCTCGAGGTGCTCGGTTCTCCTTGGCCTGACGATGCAGTTTCCTTGCTCCCTGTGCTCACCCGATTAAATAAAGCATTACCAAATTTGTTCAGGCTGCTTCTATTCATTTTAAACTCTTTATTGAAAATAAGTTGCAGTTGGTACACAGACACTGAAAATACATCATCACAGATTGCTCTCCCAAAAGATATTTTTTTATATATATTTGTATATATATACAAAAGTTGTAAACATTTTTAACTTATTTCCATACACAGTCCACTTTATACTACAATCCACGTAAGGTTAGTGACAACTGCAACTCGTGGAAGCGGTCTGCTCATACAGAGGTATCTGCAAAAGAACTTAAATTTGCAAACCACATTTGGTACCTGGTTGTTATTAAAACTTATAAAGAATCTGAGGTTTAAATGCATATTGCAACAAAATACAGGCAGCTGAACTTGGGTTTCAAGTTGGTACAGCGAAGGCCATGTCTGAGCCTCATGGGTGGTGAGAGGTTGACACACAGCTTCTAAATGCAATCTAGAGTAGCATTATGGATAAAACAGAGTGGAATTCGACTTGTCTGCTCTCCCCAGGAAGACAAAGAAGGCTGAAAGGAAGTCTGCAAATATTACACAGCTTTTAGAAAGAGGAATATTGATTCTACACTTTTACTAATGAATAGACAATGATCGCAGTTGGCTTAATTCTATTCAACTGCTCTCATGGCTGCAGAAGGGCAGTAGATGTGAGTTTGGGGAATGGGACAGTGCTGTGGAGGAGAGGGAAGGGGACTGATATCCCCCAGTAAAGAGCAGCCGATGGAAAAAGCAGAGATGCCAGAGCTGTCACTGTTGTAGCATGAACTCAGCAGTGCTGTGCTGCTACCTGCAGATTGCCCAATGGGAAACTCATCTTACTAAGTGCCTCACCAAAACAGCAAGTGAAATCCAACTGCTCATGGACATGGTTAAACTGCAGGAGATGGTGAAGCACATTGTTGGGAAGATGATTTTGCTGAGTGTTGGTTAAACAAAACTTCTACCTTGCTCGGAATAGCTTACGATGCCAGGAGCAATTTCCAATTAATGTCTTTATTTCAAATCCTTTTCTAATGGGTTTAAAGTATAAGTTCATGCAAAAACAAACAAACAAACAAAACTACCCATAATGTGGTTTAATTTCAATGCTGAGAAATGCCTGTGTTGTCCCAACAGAGCCTCACTGAGCACAAGGATCTGGTAGAATAAATCTCCAGGAAGAAAAGGTACAGGCTTGCTCATAGTCTACTCTTTATGCTGAAATTCAGCCCTGACACTACACAGGAGCTGTCAGCACGTGAGGCTGAGGGCAGCCTGGTCAGCTGCAAGATTTCTGGAGGACTCTACAATGGCTTCTGAGAGCAGCATGGGGCTAGCAGCCAGCAGGGCATGGATTTGCAGCAAAATGCTGGCATGTCTGTAAGGGCTGGTCTGCAGGGTTACAAGGAAAGCAGCTACTGTCCACTGTACCACAGTGAACTTACAGAGAGAAAAAGAGTGGGTGAAAGAAGTACGTAAGAGTGATGCCAAGACAGTCTGAACCTCGAATGAGATACTGCAGGGATCCAATAATTCTGCTGTTACAGCCCATACCTGCACACACAGTCTGACTGACCCATCATGAAGATGCTGTAACAGTTAACAGACAGCACTGGTAACACAGAGCAGACAGTGGGAGCACTGCAGGGCCTTGCAAAGTGCTTGGAAACAGGACGCTGTGCAAGGGGTAGGCATGAGTCATCATGGCCAGGGAGAGGGCTGATGTCTCACGCTTCCTTAATTAAGGTTTTAATTCAGCAGGGCCTTGTGCTACCAGCCTGGGGGATGAGGAATTACACAGGAGCTGAGCAACAGTCGCCAACAAACCAGGAAATGTTTTTCTTTCAAGGTGGCTGACTGCTGTTTCCAAGGCATGAGTATCTTAGGTGTCGCAGTGCCACCTTACATTTTTTCCCACCCTGATGTAGACTGAGGAATGACTGTGCTGACCTGCAAAAACTGCACCAACTGAGGGATGTCTGCTGGCTCCTGCTGCCCCAGCAGCACCCGGAGCAGGGGGAGGTTTCTCTGGCAGTAGCCAGACCACGGCCATGGAGCAGCTCCTGCTCTGCCTCACCCCTGCCAGGAAACCCAGGCACCAAAGCCCCTTCCTCTCCTGCTGAGTGCAGCACATCCAGGTCCTCACGCACAGCGCCAAGCAGAATTTAAACATAATAACACATTCTGGGGAGAAATGACTGCAAGAAGAAGCTGACCTTGAGAAGAACGACGCTGCCCGGCCTGGGGACGAAGTCACAGTTGTGCTGCTGCCCCCATGCCGTAGTGGCTGCTCTCAGGTCAGGGACGGCGTGGGGATGTGCATCCATGTCCCACAGCCACGGGTGGGAGGGGTGGAAAGAAAAGAAATGCAATGTAGGCCTGGGGTGCGTACATTCAGATGTTGTAATATTCAGCACGTTTACACCACTGACCAGGACACTTCTCGCAGTCAGACAGAACTTTAGTTCTTTACGGTTACAAGGAAACTCTGGAACAGTTATATAGTTAGAAAAGATACAATGTACCGAACAAACATTATCTCACATACAATCAATTTAAACATTTAAATTGATTATAATTTTACTAAAATATTAACACAAGTACTGTTTGTGCTGCTAAAATTTCAGTGTTCCCTCTAAGGAAAATATTGCTACAGTTCTACTGTACCCTGTATTAAAATCTTTTGCCCTTTTATTTTCATCAAGACTGGCTCTAGTAAAATCACAAGGGTTAGAGAATTAAACTTAGGCTTATACTCTACTGGGGTTTGGGTGTCCCCACTCAGTGCACAAATTTCTCACTGCTCACCTACCTCAACCAGCACAGGCTGATAGCAGACGCCCCCAGGGCACCTTTCTTGCTTCTTGCATCAGCTCCAGGTGCCTCCTCCATCAGCAGTGCAGCATCCTCCTGTTGCTGCAGGGAGCAGCTATGCTGGCAGCGGGGCTGAGCGCTTCCTAATACTAAGTTCACTTCAGAGTGGATGGCAAAGGTACTGGGGAGATGCTGTGGAGTTGTCACTGTAAGGAAAAGCTGTAAGGGATGCCAGGTCCCTTTGTCACCACACACAGAGGGTTGGGCTCTGCAGGAAAAGTGTCTGAGCTGGGAAATGCCCGCACAGCTCCATCAGCACTGGGTGCTGCCAGGCAGATCCAGATCCAGGAAAGCCAACGCTCACCGTAAATGCAAGTTTTAATCTGACCTGAATAGTGGGGTATTCAAGTTATGCATTTTGTCACTGATAACGACTGCCTGTGATGAGGTTTGCTGCTCATTAATTAATGCATTTATTTGCTATTTAGCAGCAGAAATGAGCTGTGCTAATGACGATGACAAAAAACTGCTGGATTTTTTTGCTACAAGAACAGCTGGGGCAGTCATTTATCTATTGCTTGTGAGGTCAGAAGGCAACACACAGCTCTGCCAGCAACAACAGTGCAGCGAAGGATCCCTGCAGCCAGGTGAGGAGGGGGGCCGGGAGGACTTTGCCACAGACAGACCCACTGCTCAGCCACCCTGCTCTGTCCTCAGCAGCACCCAGCTCTGCTCACAACCACTGCACACCCAGCACTTCAGACGCTGATGAGCATCTGCTGCACTTTTCAGATTGACTTGGTATTAACAAGGCTGTAATTCTGCTGCTGGAAACCAAACAGCCTCGTCCTCAGGCGTTTATCATCCACTCTATTCTCCCACGATGGGCAAACGTGTGCCACATGCACCCCCACAACAGACTTCAAAGCCCACCGAGTCCTTTCGATCCTCGCTTTGAATTCTGCATCACCAGGGACTGCAGTGCAACACACACATTTACACCTGAGGATTTTGCTGCAATTACGACAGATGGTGGCTGCTCCCAGTAGAAAAACACAAGTTACAATCTGCTTCCTAATTGACTTAGAATTTGAGTCACTGAGGCACCCACACCTTTTGTGTTGGCAGCTCTGGGTCTGAGGGTGAGCAAGAGTTCAGTGTTGCCAATCAGAACTGTTCGGAAATTGGCAAACTTCAACAACCCCACAATGAAGTGGAACTGTAACACGCCATATTTTCCACTGATAAAAGCCTATTTCTAATTAGCAGACAACTATTGCTAAATTCTTTTCCAAAGCAAGTTTCAAACACAACTTTCTGTATCCTCAACCAAAACCACATGGAAGCACAGAAGCTATTTGGATATTCAAGATAAAACCCAGACTTCTGTGCCCCCATGTCCCCCCGCACCCTGAACTATGTTTGAAACACCCATTTGGTCGTGGTTTTTTGTACAATAAATATATACAAATAAAAGTAACACAGACACCACTGGTTTCTTTGTAAATTTGGCACTTTCCATGGCCTCTCTGTGCTGTACATGAAAGCTCTACCAGGAGTGGGACTAGGCCAGGACCAACCGCCCCAGCTGCAGCCCCCCTCACCGCAATGAGGCCACATCTATGTTAGCTCTGGAAGAACGAGATGAACAACTCATCAGCTACCTTGTTTTCTAGCAGGAAAAAGTATTTTTGGCTTTCCCAGGCACTCTGTGGCACCTAGTGCCCAGTGGTGCTAAAACAAGCCTCGAAGAAGGTACTGACTTTTCTTCCGCCACATGGAGTAGCGACCTTCTTTCTTCCGACTTAGAGGGAACACTGCTTTTATAAAACCCTTGGACAGGTAAGACAAGAACCAATACCACTGTACAGAATTCACTGCACAACTAGCTAATAGTAAGGAACCCAGCACTGACTTGCCACATTAAGGAAATGGTACTGAATACATTTGCAATCAACCGGTTAACTGTACTGCACCATAGGACTCGGTCTATTTGTACACGGCCGCACGCCCTCCTCCCTCAGTATGCTGGCACTTGGTAACCTTTCGGGTTGGCGTCCGAGGTCTCGGTGAACGGGGGACTCTGGTAGGTCTCTGTGCTCTCAATGCCACTGCCAGTGGGGTACCCGGGATACGCAGCATTGGGGTCGGTGGCAAACTGGTCGGTGGCAAAGAGCGACATGTCGGTGCCCAGGCGGTACCGCTGCAGGGCCTTCAGTGCCAGTGCGACCTGCAAGGGACGAAGAGATTTGGGGGGAGAGCCAAGCACCGTGGGTGACTGCTGCCTCCTGCTCCTCCGCAGCCATAGAAACCACTGGCCCAGGAGGAGCCAGGTGTGCAGGGCATACCGGTGCTGCACCACCGTGCACTGCTGTGCCACACCGCACCACCTTGCATCAGCACTCTGTGCTTCCCTCTGCCATCCTTTCCCCCTCTCCGTGCCTCCCAAATCACAGAAGAGGCCTCACAGAGATGCTTGCCCTTCAGCCTCCTAACACTGTTCATATTCATGCTGCAAAGCAAAACCTTCCATTGAGACCTACGAGTTCTCCCCATGCAAAACCAAAGCCCACACTGTGTTCAGATCAGGTTCCCATTGTCATCAAGGAAGTGGCACCATCAAACCAACCACTGCAATGAGTGGAAACTGTCCCAGGCCAGTGAAATAGGTCAGTCCTGCAGAGACTCCTTCACCCTTTTCCAGGTTGCAAGTATTCAGGTCACAAATTGTGGAAAATGGAAGCAGCAGAGCTGTGAGAGACCTGCACTCACCTTTATTTCAAGAGGTTTCATTAACAATTCGATTAATTTTTAAATGACAGACTCAGGATAAAGAAAACCTGCCCACAGACACCAAGATGGCACGGCCTTAGCCCCCCCTGTAAGCCCCAAGGGCAATGGGTGCTCCCCTGCTGTACACTTATGGCCCTTTGATATTTCCTCTGGCCCAACACTATTGCCCTGGCAGCAACTGTCTGCAATGGACCTTATATATTCGCTGCAGCATTTTGCACCTCTCCTGAGGAAAGCAGCAGAGCAGACAGTCTGGTTTCCCCTAGGGGCTGTCAAAATCCCCCACACCCTATGGGACAGGCTCATCATGGTGTACTCCTGGGGACTCACTTGCTTCAAACCAAACTCCTCCCTGGGGTCTGAAATGAGGGCAGCATGTGGGCAGCAACATGTTTTTGATGGAAATGCAACTTGCTAGCTGCAGGAGAAGTTTGGAAGTTCCCAGGGAGAGGGGACTGGAGCTGGGGCTTCCTGGGTAAGCAACCACAGTTTCAGCTCCCTGCATAGGGAGAAGGACGAACTGCAGGTTTCTTCAGTACAGCCCTTCACCGCTCACCAGGCTTCACTTCCCCAAACTGTGCCCCAGATTCCTCCTTCAGCTCAGTGCTGAGCCCATAGTAGGTTTCATTTCTCCTCTCCCCAGCCTAGCTGAGTTGGGTAGTTTCTTCTGTAATTAAATCTGTGCCCTGTGGATAAAGCCCAGCTCTGGGGATAAGGATCTGCCCCATGAGGTGCTTGGACCCTCGCCATGACAGTGGCAGGCAGCACTTGTACCATAACGCCCTGGGTGCAATAGCTGTAACCCTGCATAAAAAGCTGCAGGTCTCACAGGTAGGGCCCTTGAAAAGTCCAGAAGCTGAACTCACCCAGACGATGATGGAGAAGAAGGAGAAGGCAATTGATGCCCGGGCAGCATCTGCTCCTTGCGAAGCCCCTTTGCTCATTGTTGTCCGCTGCCACTGGTTTGCTAGGAAGCAGAAGGCTACAAACCAAAGGAAGGACAAGAAACCTGGAGGAGAACAGAGTCAGTCAGTGCTGATACTGCCATCACTTCCTCTGCTCCAAGAACCCCAGAGACCTGGGTGTTGATGCACAAACACTGCCACCAAGACATTCAAACAGCAATAGAGGTCCTGGGTGCCTTAACCTCTGCCATGACCCAAACAGAGCTATTTTGAAAGAGGTGAATTTACAATTGCTGAAAAAATTGAACTGGAGGAACTTGTAGCATTATCTTGTCTGTTGTCTATCTTCAGTTTAGCCACCTAAATCTTTAGTTTAGTCACCTAAATCTTACCTTCATCTTCAGCTTTGCAGGGACAGCACAACCTCTAGACACAGCCTTCTTGCACTCGGTGGGACTGCAGCCTGCTCACAGGCACCAAGATGCTGCCAGCCCACTCCCCAGCACCCTGCTGTGCTGCTCACCTTTTGTTTCCTGGAAACCTGTGGCTTTCAGAACCTTAGGGCTGGGCACTGCACAGCTGCTCAGCAGGTGGAGGGGGCTGTGTGCCTGCTCCCAGCCTCACTGCGCTTCAGGGATCAAGTGAAAATGCTCCAATGATTATTTCTTACTGGAACCAAGGCTGGCTTATCAAGATAGGGCTGCAGCTCCTCTAATTCAATCACCAACCAACAGCATTGCCTGATGTCAGGAAGCTTAGAACAGACACAAAGCTACCCACAAGCACACACTGTAACAAGCAGTAATAAGCAGTAACACTTTACAGCGCTGTGAAAAGAAGTTGCATAACCTGGAGCCTTCCATGATGCTGTTTTAAGGGCCTCCAGCTTTCTAAGCATCCCCAGCACAAAGCTCCCTGCATTTGCCAACGTGCACACAGAGATCCAGGCCCAGCAGCAGGATGCTGAGCTACAAGCCTCTTCCCAGGGATTATCAGCACATCAGAGCAAGCAGCCACACTGCCAGCCCGTGGGCATAGCACAGTCTGGCCACAGGGAGAGGAAAGCAGCTTCCTTTTTTCCCCTCTTTATCTTACCAGCTCTAAAGTACAATAAAAGATGCATGCTCACGTCCAAACACTGTGCAAGATTTATAAGGCTTCTTGCCTTTAGTTTAGAATTTGTGCCTAGCTGCAATTTTGGAAAACACGCTCCTTGTTTCCTTTTCTTACACAACTGGACCTGGGGAAGATACTTTGGACAACTTAGCCAAATCAGGCCCTTGATCTGCTCTTACAGCAACACACCCTCCAGCTAGGATCACCCCTACCTTCCTCTTCCAAATCTCAGACTAACAAAACAGCTTTTTTTTTTTTTTTTTTGCATAAGATGGCTAATGCCTGCTACCAAAGCCACCTCTGTATATCCATCTTCACCGTCAGGATGATCCACTTGTCCTCAGTGGTAAATGAGACCTCCCATGCTCACAGAGCAAAATTCAGGAAGAAGTTTCTCGCTTCAAATCCACACATTTTGGACACAGCAGTATTGGGAAGATGAAAGACCAGAGATGAAATGCAAGAGCAACTCATAGCAGGTTAACTCACAGCATTGTTGTGCATGCTCAGGGGCATCCTTCCTCTGGGGCCATCCACAAAGGGACAGTGGGGTTCTCCAGCAGGATTAGGCTTCATCACTGGTTTACAGGGAGTGGAATTGTTTGCAAGAATCTCAGTGTCACAAAGCTGATGCTGTGGCACAGCCATGACACAGGGACTCCCCACCGCCCAGTGCTCTAAGCTCCATCTGTCAGTGTGTCAGCGGTATCTTCCAAGGGTTTTCAGGACTTAAAATGACATCATGCACATCTCTGCCCGTGCACCGGCTGTGCTGGGTATTGCAGCTAACAACTTCCTCTGCAACACAGATACTGGAGCTGCTGACCTGCCCAGTGCTGATTGCTGGGGTCTGAGACCTTCAGTGGGAAATAACTGAATGGTGTTGCTCCTGCTGCTGCCCACGTGCACCTCATTGAGGTTTCACGATGCACACAAGCCTCTGTCCTCCTGACATCAGGACAGCTCTGCTGAGTTTCTGGGAAGAAAACTGGTTCTCTGCAGGTCCTGGGAAAGGGGAAATGCAGTATTGCTGCCAGTGGACAAGACAGTGTCAGGTATTCAGAGCACCTCCAGAAGTACCAGGCGGTGTTTATGCCACTTGAAAAGCTGACACATGCCTGTGTGTGAGATCAGGCTTCCCAGTGAGCTCTAGGAGGAACTATTTTTGTTCTGTACCAGCACCCGTTTCCATTTGTGATCATGTTCACCCTCTGTTAGCACTCCTGTGCGATGAGACTCTATGCCCAACACTGACTCATGCCTGGGATCACTGCTGCCTCCTCTCACCTGCACATCCCAGGGTCCAGGCTGCCCTGGTGCCAGCTGGGTACCATCTCATAGCTTCAGTATATTTCCAGGACCAAGTGGAAATGGGTATTTGGGAGGTGTGGGTTGATATTCATGGATTTCAAGACCCTGAGGAGGGGGCTGTTCTGACAGTGGGTTACTGCGGCCACAAGCACCGCTCCTGACTCCTGGCGGAAACACACACAGCTCTGCACCCTCCAGCATACCAGAGAGAAGGAAAATACCAGGAATAGCTGTTAATTATAGTTTTAGGATTGCAGACAACAGAATGCAAACACCAGGAAATATACATTACAGTCGTAATTACAGCCTGGTTCCAAGCAACGCACATCTACAGGAGCAGCTGTAAGAGCAGATGGAGGATGAAGTTGCAAGTGCCACTGACATAGCACTGTGGTTGTCCTGCTTGCACCCAGCATTATCTACCTGTGGACTCAGGGGCTGCAAGAGGCAGAGCCCTCAGTGCCCCGTGGGGCAGCCCACTGTGGGGACAACCTTTGTACTGCAGGCAGCTAATGCTCCTTGTACAGCTGGGGTGGGAGCAGCAAGCTGTCAGTATAAGCCCTCTCACCCACCACTGATCCTCCCTCCTTCAAGTGAAAGGAAGCTGTGGGTTAGCAATTAGACCACCTCCTCCCATGACCTTCATAGGCAGCAGCTGCCACTTCTGCTTCCGTGCAGCCAGCACCACGCACTGGGGGAATCCAGGCACAGGGACAGAAGTGACCTTCTTCTCTCTCACCTCACCCACTTCCTACTTGATGCTCCTCATCCTCTTATTTCCCAAATGCATTTTCAGCTTTTATATTAAAGCATATAGTAATGCAGAGATCACATGCAGAGAAAAAGGATGAAACAGTCACAAGCAGGAGGAAATCAAGAGCCAAGGAGGAAAAGAAGAGGAAGGGTGCAGTGTAGAAGTCCCACAGATAAAGTTCCTAGAGATTAACACAGAGGCAGTCAATGCAAATAACTTGCAGTTTGCACTCTATCACATATGTACAGGTTGGCTCTGAGGACACAGAGCCCATGGGCTGCAAGCCCCAGGCTGCTTGGGGTCACATGCCAGCAAAACCCTGAATTTGATCTGTGCTGCAAGATCTGCTTCTGGAATCAACCAACTGCCTGGAGTTTCTGCACGAGCGGGCGTATGGGCTACAGTAGTACAGAAGGTTTGGGGCAGCTATAATTTTAGAAAAATGAAGGCAGAGAAATAGGAATAGAATAAGATGCAGTAGGCATGAACCCACCCTGAGATCTCCCATTGAAATGTGAAAACTTGCAGCAGAAGGGTGTTTTGCACACCAAGGGCACTAATAACAGCTCCACATGCACAGCTCTGGCCACCCATGATCAAGAGAGACAAATACAAGCTGAGGTACAAACTGCAGGCATGTGGAAGGGAACAGAGAGTCCATCTGGTGTGAGGAGACATGCAGCGAGGCTCTCAATCAGCAAATGAGAGTTTCAAGAAAGAGTTTGATTAAGGTATGAAGCAGGATACACAGTGCAAAAACAGGGTCTGAAGCCAAAGAGCTGGAAGTCCCCTCCATACCCATGTCCCATGACGAGACCCTCGACTCAAGCCTGCACAAGCAGCAGGGGAAGGTCACTGGCAGACACTGGCACCCAGCTGAGTAAGAAGCATGCTGCCACTCACACATCCCTCCCAGCAGCACAACTCGCCTGTAAGTGGTTTGCTTTGCAACATGGAAGTGGTCTGACCGTTTCCTACCAAAAAGCATGCAGAGGGGAAGAAGCAAGGGAGGAGGAAGGAGCCTTGCAGGTGACACAAGGCACTCGAGAGTAGCACACTCATCCCCTGGTCCCAGTAATAAAGTCAGCACCGGCAGGTCAACTGTATTTGAAATTTGTGGATGGGGAGGATTTTACCAGGACAGAGCCCTGGTGCAATACTGGAGCCTGTCCCCATGAGCAGAGCAATGCCTGTAGGCAGAAGCCCATCTTCTGCAGCTTTCTGCAGAGCCCCATGACTATGCACACTGTATGACAAGGACAACAGAGGAACAAGGCAGAGATGGCCGCATTTCATACAAGCCTGGCAAGGGACAGTGCAGCTGGTACAAGGTGAAAATCAGGGAAGGATCACAGCCTCACACCAAGACACACATCCAGGCAGAAGATGGATGTGGACACTCCCATTTGAATTGCAGAGCTGCAGGCCCCAAGCCCCACAGAAAGGGCCGTAAATACCAGCTCACAATGGCTGGGCACTGAAGCTCTAGCACCATGGAAATGAGTTTTCCAGCAAGGAGAGGACATTCTTAACTACAGCCAAGCATAGGCAGATGATGATGGATGTTTTCATCTGGGACCAGAGTCATCAGCTGTGTTTGTGCTGGATAAATCACCTTCAGACTATGCTAACACAAGAACCTGGAAATTGAGAACATCAGCTGCAAATTCAGCCAGAAAACTCCCAGAGCAGCCAAGCAGAGGACAGTGTCTCCCAGCACAGCACAGCCCATCAGCTCCTGTTCATGCGGCTGAGTCAAGGGCTTGGGACAGCACAGAAAATCCACGTGAGTCCTTGGGAAATCCAGAGCTACTAGCAAACCCCAGCCCTGGAGGCAGTGAGGGATGGCAATGGTGTCTTAGCTCTTGCTGTAGAAGCACACTTCTGCTTTGTGCAGAAATATGTGCACGAAGTGAAAACAGATCCAGATGTAACTGATGAAGTGACTCTTGTTAAGAGGCAGGAAAAGGAGATGTGACAGAGTAAAATGTGACTGCCAAGCTTTTCTTCCCCAAGTGACCCCAGTGATCCCAGCTTCAGAAGCAACACCAGTGAGCAGGACACCCCACTGACCTCAAACTACCACACATTGGCTTCCCCACTGCTGCCTTTGGATTCACTGTTGAACAAGACAACCCATCCTTCTCCCTAAGACATGAGTTGTGCCATGGCCTGAGGGAAGAGAGCAGGACTCAAGCATGGAGCTGCAGGCACAGCAATGACCCTGCACACCCCATGGAACCAGCAGTGTCCATGACAAACAGTGTCCATTAGCAAAGCCAAAGTTGTACCTGAAAAGCCCAGGTCCAGCAGGACAGCTCGTTTGCGGTCCTTCACGCTACTGATCTGCTGGAACTGGAGGTCCACAACAAGGAAGAAGATGCATCCGAAGAAGGCAATAATGCCAATGGCAATGCCATAGCTGCAGGCACTCTCATTCTCATTGAAGATGCAATGTAGCTCAGGGTCTGTGCCATCCTTGTTCACATAGCACTCGTTCACAATGGAGCCGAACACCACGATGGAAAAGATCTGCAAAAGGAAGGAGAAAACACAACTTGCAGCTGCTTACATTTAACTCTGTTTTCCAACAGCAAAATAATTGGATTCAGTCCTGTGAGGCTCTACAGCAACACGGCATTTGCTAGATAGATCCCCACACTCAGCTGGCTGGTGGTTCTATGCGATGGGCTGGCGGATGGCATCTAGGGCTCCAGATGCTGTGAGCCTGCTTGTTTTCAATGGTCTGGCTTGCGGTGTGTTTTAAGAGATGGGGAAGGAGCGGAAGGGAAACTAAACAGATTGGTCAGGTCTCTGAACAGTCTTTCTGCTTGTGCTGCTTTGCACCATCAGACCGCACTCAATGAACCCCCTTGTGTAATTGCAGAGCAGAGAGAAATGAAGCTACAGACAATGGAGATGCTGAATGCACACTGAAGGGTGGATGGGGTGCTTGGGGACGTGGGGAGCAGCTCACCTGGGTGTCATGGGAAGGAGGAAGAAGTTATGGTTGTGCTGCCATGCAAACATTGGCCAATTCAACCCCATAGCAGAGGCTGAAGGATACAGTGCCTGCATCTGTTATGCAGTGACCCAGTTCCAGCCCTGCAAAGGACAGTAGAGAAGGAGCTCACTGGTGGCTGCCCCATTCCTGCTGCTGACTGCTGGGACCCACAGCAGAGCTAAGAGTAGCTTCCCAGCCCCCCAGCACACAGCAATGGAGAGAAGCAGCTGCTCCACAGTAGCTTCAACTCCAGCTCCCCAGGGCTTTGCCTCACATCCTGGCTGCAGAAAGGGAGCTGGGTCATAGCTGGGTCATGTGGCTGTGTCCACGAATGCCATTCACAGTGCTGCATGCCTAGGTAAATCCCTTATTCCTCTCCAAAACCAAAAGCAGCAAGCAGAAGCCACAGGACCAGCTGCATTCACTCTTGCAACCTGGGAAGCACTGTGCTGCTGCTTCCATTGCTGGGCTTAGAGTAGCAAGACCTGTGGATGCCCTTGCACCACACTGTGCATCTCTGATCTTGTCACTTGCTGCCAGCACCACAGGATCGCTGCATACCTCCTTACCCTGCTGGCTCCCAGGATGCATCCAGAGGCAACGTATCCAGGCAGAGACCACACACAGCTCCTCACTGCTTTCTCTGCAGTCACAGCCCTGTACTGAGACACAAGACCGAAACGAGCGACAGCCAGATGCAGCAGCTCACAGCCACCTGCAGTCCATGGCTCTTGCAGTAACTGCCTGCTGACACTTCACCTTGCTCCCTAATGCATAGGGGCAGCAGAACCAACAACAAACAGAACATTCAGAAGGCTTCCAGCACTGCAGTGTAATGCTGTGACAGCACGAGCACTGGCCACGTGTCTCTATCCTGGCTACCCTGCAGTATTCCATACGGACAGCCCTTCTCCCTCAACTCCACACTCTTCCCAGCTGGGTTGAAGCTGGGACAGAGGCAGTTCCAACCGAACATACTTGCAAATGCAAATGTCTCATCAGCAAACCTGTCTTAGATCCTCTCCACTAACTCCCCTCCATATTGGAGGGAACAACAAAGAAGCATGTCTTCAGGAGTGCAACCATGACAGATAGGTGCAGGGTATTTTCTTTCTCTGTGGGGCATCATCTGAAATAAATGATGAGCAGAAGCAGTGCTAACAGTCCCTAGAGAACATCCTGCCTTAGGAGTGCAAGCAGATACCTGCCCCTGCTCACTTCCAGTTCCACAAACCCATGAGCACAAACCCATCCAAGGACAGAGATCATCTTTAAACTGTCAGATAGGAGCTCACTCCTCTTGCACTTGCATTTCAAGTTAGCCCACTGCTGGGCCATGTTGGATGATGGAGATACTCTAGGACCTGCCTGTCAATTGAGCAGGCATCTCTGTGCTACCCAGACATCCTGCTTTCCTTCCCAGCATCCCTCATCTTCAAATTTAACCAAGGCCTGGGGTTCTTTCCCCACTCCTCTCAGCCCCAAGCACCACCACAAGCTCACTGCTAACGTGAGTCACTGCCTGCATTCACACCCAGCTTCTCGTCTCACCGTGACGGCCGCATCATCATGTAAAGAACAACAGGGCTGCATTGTAAGAAGGAAGCAACAAGCAACAACAAACAGCAATAATAATTTTCCCAGAGCTTTGGCAGCAGCTGTAATATCAGCAGTTGTAAAAATCTGTTCATAAATAATGCAAAATTGTTATTTACTATCAGAAATAGCAGCAGCATTTATAAAACAGCCCCTGGAATAAATAATGTGATTCTGGAAAACATGAATAATTGAGAACCTCTGATTCCACTGGATTATTTCTCTGGCAGGCCAGTGAACTTGCACTTAGCTTCTCAGATAAGTGTTTTTACTAAACCCTCCCAGGATTAGCAACCTGCCTTATTTCTTGGTGCTTTCAGATGCCTCCTGTGCTCACAGCCTGCCTGGGTGATGCAGTACCATGGTTGCCCACAGAGTTGGTGCTGCTCCTGGGGGAAAGCAAAACCTATGCTGAGCAGAGCACATCAAAAGGATCATGGCTGGAAGGCAGGATCGGATACCCAGGTCTGTGAAAGGAGAATGCCCAGAGAGCAATCATGGAGGAGCACAAAAGCCAAAAGGTGCCCGTAATGCACACACCTGGGACCAATGCAAACATCACCAGAGATGGTACTTGCAGATATCCTACTGCTTAGCTTTAACTTCCAGTGAGTTTTGCTCTGTTCAGTGCAGAGAATTGCACCTGTCTTGCAGCTGGGGCATCCCGCAGAAAGGGGCTGAGAGGTGAGACAGCCATCGGATGCACAGCCCAGCAAGAGTGAGTGCATGTGTTGGATGGAGGTACAAAATCATCATGCTGACTGAAGGACGCCTGTCAAAACAAGCTTGTCAGTGAGAACAAGTCTTTCCATGTTTTTTCTCTCCCTCTCCTCATGATTGATATTAATTTTCTTAAAAAACAAAACAACAACTGCTGCTGGTAATTCTCATTTTAATGAGAATAGACTTGGTGTTGTTTTGCTATGTGTAGGTTAAAAGAAAGTTAAGGAAAGGGATGTAGATGGGGGAAAAGTAAAACCCACAGGACTTTTTTAAGTTCATGAAAAACAAGTGCCAGTCCCTAACTACCTCCACAGCCCTTGCTTGCTCAAGCTCTCAACCAGTTCATCAGAGACCTGAGAGAGAAAATGCAAGGTCAGATTCTCCACAAGTGGCTGGAGAAGCACTCTGGTTAGGAGGATGCAAGAAGAGCTGTACACACTGCAACACAGATGAGCTGCCTGTGCAAATGCAGAGCTGTCCAGTATCCCTGAGCAAGAGGGGACACTGTCAGGCAGCAAAGCTCTTCTGTAGCACAGGTCAAAGGGGTGTGAGTACAGCAACCTATGATGGCGTTTGAGTACAGACCATGACTCTGGAAAACAACTGCTACACAGCTGAAACCAGAGGGCTTTGAGCATCGCCCTATGACCAGTGCTCCAGTGGTGCACCCCAGGGGCTTTGGGACAGACAGGTAACAGCACCCAGTTGGTGGGCAGCACACTGCTGAATGACACCTACTTTCTTCTAAAGAGAAGGAGCAGCCTGCCACAGAGCTTGCTCACACCAGGTTTTTGCCATCTGGATATGGATGGCTGGCCAGGCTGCCCTGGCTTGGGTCTGCCATCACACTTTGCAGATTTACATTCCTTCCTGCAGCATCAGTCTGCCAGACCCCAGACCTGCAGGTATTCTATCCACACTGCTTTCAGCCTTCTGTCACCCAGGCACCTGAAATGTGCATATGGAGTTCTGACAATCTAAGCACAGTCATCACAAAGAAAACAAAAAGCAAGAAACGCGAGAGCATGAACTGAAAGCACCAGTGTGTGAGCTGTCAGCCATTTTAAGGTGAGATGTTTCCAGTGTCGATGCACTGTGCTTCAATCGGGGGCCTATGAAAAAACACTGCCAGAAGGTGTGGGTTTGTAGGAGACTGCAGAACCTTGCTTTGATTACACACACAAGCAACTGCTAACGTTAACATTGAGGAAATTTGACGCATGGAGAAGAATGATCTACCCCTAATTTGCTCTGCAGTAGCTCTCAGTCAATGGTGATAGGCACAACCCAGATGGACAGAGCCAGCACCAACATCAGGGCGAGCTCGTCAGATGCTGCCTTCTCCAGCCCCCTCTGCTCCTTGAACCATCCCTGAGTGAGGATGGGCAGCAAACAAGAAGGAAAAATTACTGAGGTCAGACACACACAGGCCACATCCTGCCCAGCACTGGGCATTTTAGCCCCCACTGGGCCCTGGGCTGGAGCTGCCCTGTACCACAAGGACACCCTGCTTGGATCTGGGCTGCACCCCAGTGCTTCACACCTTCCAAGCTCAAATTCTGGGGGAATCTAGGCCCCTGTCCTCCCCATTTCATCCTTATAGCTGTCAGTAACAGCAAAGTTTTCTGCACGCAGCTGCATAATTTACTGGGGTACGTGAAGGCCAACAACCAACCTAAGCACCGCCACATCTCCCATGAGGACTGAGGATGTGACCACAAAGGAAAGACCTGATGCAGTTTCTGGCACAGAACCGGATAGCGTGATGCCAACCCTAATAAGGTTATGGACATGTCTAACGGGCTAATCAGACTGTGAAGGATGCATGTTGATGACCACATGACTGCTTTGTACTGAATTACCTTTTCTAATGCGGCAAAAGATGTTGGTTGAAACACAGCATCCATTCAAAGTTCCTGGTCTAGTGGCACAATCTGAGCACGCATCAAACTGACAGCGTTTGAAATCAGTGATGACAGGAAAACGGAAATTCAGCTGCATTTTAAGCTCAGATGTGGTGAAACTTCTGTATAATTTCATTAACAAAAATGTAAAGCTAAAGGTCAGCCTTTAATATCTACAGCCCACGGAAAAGGAAAATTAAGACGGAAATCTGGTGACCTTACTGAAAGCAGCCAGTGCTAGACAAAGCCCAGGGCAGCCAAGATCACAGCACTGACTCTGAGCATTGCCACAAGCTCCTGAGGCACAGCCCAGCCATGCAGCCCCTCTCTGAGAGCCACAAGCCCTCCATGCTGGGGACGACCCTGCAGCCAGGACTGAGTTTCCTCAGGAAGGCAGGAGGGACACTGCCTGGTTCCCTCCCGTGCCCAGGGTGCAGCGCAGTGGCCACCCCTTGCTCTCCTGCTGCAGTTTGGCTGCTCTGCTCCTAAGCCGTTCTTTTTTTTTTCCTGCTAAAAACAAACAGCCTATACAATGAGCACACAGCAGGCAGCAGCACCTTTCACCCTCCCAAAGAAACCAAACAAACCTGAAAGAAGGCAGAAAGGGCCCACTGCCCACTCCAAGAACGAATCTCCTACCCATAACACATCCATCCCAGTTCTTACCTAACTCATCCCCCAGCAAAGCACACGTATCTCACTGAAAGATAACGATTTACCATATTATGGACTAATACACAGCTCAGTGAAAAGCCAGCACATAAAGACTTCTCCCGGATCTGAGCCAAAGCATTCTCTGGTCCTATAAATTCACTACCTCATATCAAAGGTTATGGGGATTTCTACTTGCTACGCCCATGGCTAGGCAATCAGTTTTGGCTGCTGTTGGTCCATCCTCTAATAAAGGTTATGCTCTTAAAGGCAAAATGCTGGGCTCAATGAGCTAACACTGTACAGGAACAGCTCCCAGCCAACAGGTGATGCACTGCACTCCCATTCAGCTTTAGGAAACCAGAAAGGCTCTAGGCAGGGCAGGGCAGGACAGCGCTGTACCATGGCACACACCCTGGGTCAGTGGAGCAACTCTGAGTCACACCAAAGTCACTGTAAGGAAATGCTGAAGCCCTTGAAGCTGTAGGAAACTTGCAGAGATCCAGCATGGCAGAAGAAACCCCAAAGCACACATGCTGAGGCTCTTGGGTTGAAAGCTGACATGTCAAGGAAAAAGGCTTTTAGTGTTGCTGCTATTGAAATTCATACCAATTACTAAAAACATTCACTTTAATAGCATATTTACCATAACTGCTTTTAAAAGTCAAATCTAAAGGTGCATTAAGCAAACAGTTCCCCTTAAAAGCTGCATGGCTGCTTAGAAGCACGTACAGCCGTGGCACGACAGAGAGGGGAGCTCATAGTTCTGCAGGCAGGCCTTGGTGAGCACCAACTTTGTTTTGTTGTGCAAAAAATGCCCAAAAAGGAAACCACAAGAGTGATCACATCTTCTTCTGA